TTCTTTGACGCATGCGCATTTGCATAAATGTCTACACACACACATACACACTACACACAATAAAAAACATAGGAAATAGCAAGAGTGATTACAATAGTTCCTATTGCATTACATGCATAGGAACTAAAAAGGCCTAACACTCACGTCAGTGCAGCCTAGACCTATTCTAAATGTATGTATAGCCTGCCGAACACTAGCAGCATTCCAGAGCCTAAATGAAATGCACGGAGATTGCCAAAGTAATTATAAATCACTATTTTCAAAAGAAACATAGGCCTATTACTTTGGGTTGCTGTCTAAAAAACATCTTCCTCAATATACTGTGTTCAATGAGCGCACTGTGGTTTACGATGTGGATGTATATATTTTGTACCCACTATATATATAGTGACCAGTAATGGCTGGCGTCGCCGATTCGTCTATTGATCAGATCTGGCTGGATGAACTGCACTCACAAAATATTGTGGAAATAAATAAGTAATAAAATATCGACCGCCAAAAACCAAATCAGAGAATCGGAACGACTGCAATTATTCAGTTTAATTACTTGTTATAACTTGTGTTCGTTACCATTTTCACTACAGATGTACAAGCCAATGGTGTAGCCAAAAGCAATTCCAACGTTGATATACATGATTTCGCTTAATTCTTCGATGGATTCCGGCGTGTAGAATATCGCAGTGGCAACCGTTCCATCTGCTATGAACTGCAAAAGTAAAGTTAATGCAATAAGATAATGTAATATCCGATTAAAAAAAAAAAACTTCATCGGTTTTCATTAGGTTTCATTAGAAATTTCTTTTTCCATAAAACCATTTGCAGTAAACAGTTTCGATGACTACCAGTTCACATTCAAAGGAAATCAAATAGGCCTAAGGTAGGCCGCGGTAATACCCCCAATAGATTTTTTCACAACAAAAGTTCGACCACAACGAAGTGATCTTCCAAGTTGATCTTTCTAAAATTAAAATCACCAGTGATAATAGATTTGTCATGTTTATTTTACTAACAGTTTGTCTGAGTGGTTATATTCAGGGGAAGAGTTAGAAGGGGGAGGGGGCTGTACAGACAATCTAAAACTAGACGTTTACCACCTGTGAACAGTGCAAATGGATGCTTCTTTATAATAGGGCCTATACTCACACAGAATCAAAACGAGCTTCTAAAACTAAATCATTTCTGATCAGAATGACAAAACCTCCACCGCCTTTCTGAATTCGATTTGTTTCTATAAACAGAGTATCGGTAGTGTCAAACAAGACAACAGATATATTACCTTCTGTGAGCTTTGTTTCCAAAATAAAAAATAGGCTAATATGAGGGTTTTCCTTCTCTAAACTAAAATCAACGGCGGCGAAAGCGGGGGGGGTGGAGGATGGGTGGATGCGATCGGCCTACCCACTTTTTCTACTGAGGGTCTTGGCCCTCCCCTCCACTTTTGTGACTGTTTCCAGCACCAGTGACAAACATTTTACGAACGCTGCAATGTCATTATTAGTATTATTATTAGGCCTATTATTGTTATTATTATTATTATTATTATTATTATTAAAATATACAATATGGTATTATATTCAAACCAGATGAAACTATTTTAACATTATTATTACTGTATTATTATTATAATTATTATTATTATTATTATTATTATTATTATTATTATTATTATTATTAATTATTATTATTTGGTGCTTAGACACCTTGTATATATGCGTCTTATAAATTGACTTATTATTAGGCCCCAGCTTTCCTACAAGTACCGTAACAAATGAACATTACAGTGTATATTTGTTAGGTGTAAACTAGACCTAAAGTACTAGATAGAGATCTAATTAAGGCATAGACATGCCTAGGCGAGGCTACTTTTATTAGTTAAACTTGGCCTTGATTAATTAATTATTATTAATCATATTTTATTGAGTATTGCGTGAGAAATGCGTGAGTGACTATACCAGTTGGCTGGTGGGTGGGGGTCCAAGCGGCGACGATCTGAGCATTTTAAGCTGTTTTAAAACGATTTCAGGGAGTGTTTGCTGATAATACCGGTACATAAGTTAAAATATTATTAATAAAGCCAACTTGAGTTTCAATGTAGGCCTATGTTTAATTTGATCACCCGAACTATGTAGACCTACACAAACATTTCATTACTGATCAATTTTTAGTAACTCGTTAGTGAAATAAGTAGGGTAAGAAATACACTGTCCCGGTACTCTCTCATGACTCAAGTTACTACATCACCGTTTTTATAGTTTTAATACAACCAATTTCTTCTAATTTTAAATACATTTTTCCCTGAGTTTGTGATAAATCGTTATCACGCATAGACTTGTGTTAAATGCATGACAAATTTATGATCACGCATGTGTTTCTGCAAAACGCGTGTTTCATCCAAAATCACTTTGAAACGCGGGACCGTCCCGCACGACGCGAGACGGTAGTTAAAGCCCCATTCCCGGCAAAATTTCACTAAAAACTGACTTTTTTTAGAAAATATGCATTTGCATTACTCCAATTAATATAAATCATGGAAAAATATTGGCATGAATTTTAGTTTTACGCAAAAGAATAAAAAAAATGAGAAATACAGACTATTTCTCATAAAATATTACCATTTTCTCGACGAATTCATCGTTACTAGGCAGTATTTTTCGTTTAGATTTTTTCCCTTATATTATTTTATATTAATTACAAAATTATACTTTTACAAACTATTTACCCTGTCTCTTATACACATCTAGATGTGTATAAGAGACAGGCGTTGGATAGGCTAATGTTTTCGGCGCCTACGATATTTCTTCTCACGACCTATCGCAAAATCAAACATGAACAATTCGTCCGCATTTATTTTTTGTGTAGAACACAAAAAATCAAATTTCAGTCTTATTTTACATTTTTTTCATTCTTAGGAATGTCTAAATTCAGTTAAACTAGCAATTCCGTATTATATTTATAAATCTTTATAACATTCTACAAAAATTAGATTTTTCTTAAAAACTGAAAATTTGCCGGGAATGGGGCTTTAAATATGCCGGAAATGACACTATACGACTGCGAAAATCTTGTTTTGATGTTTTGGCTTAGTGTCTGAGGCCTGTTTTATTTTTTTTTTATTTTATATTTTTTTTTTTTTTTTTTTTTTTTGGTCCGACTGCCCGACAAACTCGGCCGGTGGGAGTGGAGGGCTTGAGCTGTCCGATGGAGGCTCAATCAACATCAGATCATGTAATATTTTGTTAACTGATGCAAACAGAGTCTTACATACATAAGAATATATTATTTTACCTAAATATAGGCCCTGATTTTATAATCATATATAATCATAATATATATAATAATCATAATATATATAATTATATATAATCATATATAATAAATATAGGCTTAGAGGCGTGCAGCATTTTGCGCTATATCAAATTTAACTTTATTATTATTATTATTATTATTATTATTATTATTATTATTATTATTATTATTATTATTATTATTATTATAATCGTCTTCATATACGGTAACACTGCAAAATGAAGTGTGCAAAAAAATTAAAAAGAAATAATTGTATATACTCTATAATTATATACCGGTACTCGTATAAAAATTACGTATTAGATAAATAAATATAATTTTTAGAAAAGACCGTCCTCCGCAAGTCGAAAATAGCATCGCAAGCAGCCCACCCCTACCTTATTACCTGTAATTTTTATTATGAACATAGGAAGTTCACACAATGCCGCGGGAGGGCCTGACTCGCATGATATGACGCACTTCCGGAAAAAAACGGTAGAATTCTGTAATGCAAAATACGCTAGCTGCTCGTTCTTTTTCTATCTTCTTTGCTATCATTACTGGATGCTGCAGTTAAGCTGGTTTTCCACTAGGCGAATTTATTCGCGCGAATCGAAAGCGTCGTTCATGCGCAAGCGCATTTACATTTCTATCGGAGTTTTTGCTTCAGCAAAATTGGTAGTTCGAACTGTTTATACTTTTTGTGAAGCGAAAAATGTTCGCAACCAATCAGAGCTCAGGAACCGAACCGACGCCATCGATTCGCACGAATAAATTCGCCTAGTGTAAAACCGGATTTATAGTCGCTCTCAGGAGCCGGCTTATAGTTATGGAATGCCAAAAGGACAAATTACAAGTCATTCGCAGTGCAAAAGTCAAGTGGCGCGGTGCAAAACTGAAGTGGTGCAGTGCAAAAATAATGTGGCGCAGTGCAAACTCAAAATGCGTGTGCCACCACTTTAGTTTTGCACTGCGCCACTTGACTTTTGCACTGTGCCACTTGACTTTTGCACTGCGATTGTAGTTTGTCCTTTTGGCGTTTATTGTTTCATAGTTTATCTTTGTCTAAATACAGTTTGACTGAGGGGTGGCACCAGGATTTGCCCGGCGGGGGCTGAGGTCCCCTTTCGAGAGATATGTCCCCGACGAGAACAAAAAAAATAATAATGATATAGGCCTAGTAAAAATGAGTTCATTTCCTTTTTGATGCCAAATTGGCGTTCCATACAATATCGCCAAAAGTCAAGTGGCACAGTACAACAATAAAGTGGCGCAGTGCAAAAATCAAGTGGCGCAGGGCAAAGTAAAGTGGTGCAGTGCAAACTTAAAATACGTGTGCCACCACTTTAGTTTTGCACTGCGCCACTTGACTTTTGCACTGTGCCACTTGACTTTTTGCATGACATTTTCTTTATTTTATTGAATGTTTATCTGGAAATTAAATCCCATTTTAGTAGTATGTTTTATCTCCTTTTTAAATCACCATTTACACATGCAATTAATTAGGATTCAATTTCTCAATCATCTATATCAACAATTGGATATTTTCTTTACACTCTGGAGTGTAAAAATACGAAAAAATAAAACTTAAGCGTAATAATTAACAGCACAAGCAATAAATATGAGTGAGGACATATTGAATAAGCACTTGCAACGTATAATTTGATAATTAAAGTTATAAGGTCAATAGTAACATACAAAAAATT